TTGATATTTGATTTATGTTGGAAACCCCTGCTTAATAGCATATTATATGTAAAGCATATAATATATATGGGTGCATTAGAAGTGTGATTAACACAGTTACTATCATGCATTTTTCTACTGACTCACCCAAGATCCTGCTTTTGTCATTGGATTCATTCTAGTTTCACTGAAGACTTTGTACAACATTCCAACCATCTTTCTTTGAAGTCTGTATCACAAGGTTGATTCTTTGACTGAATCACTTAAAATGGACTCCATGGATATTATAGTCTGTTTTGGCAAGGAAGCAAGCAATTCAACTCCTCCTTGCAAAAAAGGCAAAATATGCCATGCTTCCGGTCTGTGCCTTTTTATTCTAATTTGGAATGCATGAGAGATCGTTAAATGTAAGGCCACGTAAAAGCTACTTATGTGACATGCCATAACCAAAGGTTAATTTGCCTGAAAAGTCATTCTGGAAAAGAATTTGCAATTTCATAGTCTTCTATTCTGTCAATAGATGTCTTTATGAGTAAGATCATAAGGGATATGCCTCTATCAAGTCTGTAGAACATGATACATAATGAACTTTTCAAACCTCCATGTACATAAATAATCAATCTACATACTTAATATGTTTTGGATGACCCATGGATTTGCTCATTTATCAGATCTCCATCGCTGGTGCTCTTGAAGGGCATTCATTCATTCATTCATTCATTCATTCATTCATTCATTTATTTATTTATTTAGAAAATTTCTATGCCACCCCATTCGCCAAAGCCTCGGGGCGGCTCACAAAATATCAATTAAAATATAATACATTAAAAATATAAAACAAATTAACAATATAAAATAAGTCGCCCTGGCCAAAGAATAAAATAAGGAAATAATATTAGCAATTAAAATGACGTTTGAATAAAAAAGTCTTTGCCTGGCGCCGAAAATCAAATAACGACGGCACCAGGCGGACCTCTCTGGGGAGCGCATTCCATAGATTGGGCGCCACCGCAGAGAAAGCCCTCCTCCGAGTACCTACCCTCCTAATTTCCTTCACGGAGGGTTCCCAGAGAAGGGCCTCTCCCACAGATCTCAGGGGGTGGGCAGGTGTATATGGACGTAAACGCTCCTTCAGGTAGCCAGGACCCAAGCCATTTAGGGCTTTATAAGTCATCACCAACACCTTGAATTGGGCCCGGACTTCAATGGGAAGCCAGTGAAGCTGACGGAGGACTGGAGTCATGTGAACATAACGCCCAGTCCCCGTCAGCAGCCTGGCAGCTCTAGTTTGAACCAACTGAAGTATCTGGACCGTCTTCAAGGGTAGCCCCACGTAGAGCGCGTTACAGCAGTCAAGACGGGAAGTCGCCAACGCGTGTGTCACTGTCACCAGGCAGTTGTACTCCAGGTAGGGGTGCAGCTGATGGATCAGCCGAAGCTGAAGGAAAGCGCTCCTCACCACTGCTGTCACCTGAGCTTCTAATGAAAGCTCTGGGTCGAGGAGCACTCCCAACCTGCGGACCTTGTCCCTAAGAGGGAGTGCAACCCCATTCAGGACTAGGCAGAATCTAGGCCACAGAATCTAGGCAGAATCTAGGCCACAAGGCAGGCATTTACAAACTCTGGGATGAATGATGACCTACTAGTCTAACCTGAAGTCATTGGCCGGTGAATTGCCACCTGCCAACTCTTTCCCTTGTCTTGTGACTGCCTCTCCCAAATACGGATCCTTTGATTTGTGCTTGACTCAGCTTCTGGACTGTATTTTGCATCTGATTGTTTAACTATACTCTGACCTTTGTATCTTGCTGGCTCCTGCCTTAACTTGATCCAGACTGAAACCTTTGTGCTTGCTCATTTGCCTGTTTTGTTGCCTCGGCTTTGGGATTGCCCCACCAGTTGCTCTGATGCTGGATCTCATTCCAGCAGAGCAGGACTTTATTGGCCACTGTGCAAAGCCACTCAGTGGCACTTTTCAACAATCCACAATGAAATCACCTTGCAAGGTTTGGACAACACAAGAAGCTATTGTGGCTATGAAGTACATACAGTCTCCAAGTTACATTTGAGTTACAAACTGTACTTATAAATGAACTGCCATAAACCCTGTCAATGTTAAAGGATTACTGCTGGAAATTGGCATCACCACAGAGAGGGAACAGAAAGGGAGAGAAGGAAAGCCTCCAAGGCATCACCATAGAGAGAGAGGAAGCAAAACAGTAGAGATGGAGGCCTCCAAAGCATGCCTTCCTGTGTGGCTCATCCAGATAGGGAAATCTGTGTTTTATTTGATTTTGTCTTATTGTTAAACCGTCCCGAGACTACAGTAAGGGACTGTCTAGAAAAGTTTTAAATATAATAATAAATAAACCTCTCCAATATTTCCTTGCTGCAAAGAGGAGGCACTGGTGAGTTTGGGCAGTGGAGGAAGCTAGAGATATCTGTGGTTCTTCCACTTTCACAGCAGTCCTGCACCCCTGACCCCCATGAATATGGAGGGATGACTATACACAATCCGACTTTGGATCCAACTTTACATACAAATTTGACTTACAGACAAGTTTCTGTTTTCTCAAGAATGGAACTCATTCGTAACCTGAGCACTGCCTGTACCCTAAAACAGGCGATGGAGTCTTAGAATGGCCTGTTTGAGTAAAATATGCTACCCTGCTGAGACTGCCTTTGGATAACCTGAAACCATCAAGGTTGGTCCCCCTTGGTGGACTGCCGTGCCGTCCAAACCAAGCCAGTGTGTGCCAGCAGGCAGCTGCTGAAAGAACACAGGGACAGACATGCCGTGTCATTTACCCTCGGAAATGTGGGTGCGATGTGTGCTTCTCAGAAGAGCACACATTACTCATTTTAAATGCACATGCATGGAGTGCAGGAAAGCAGATTCAATTTTAAACCAGCTTTAGGCTACATCTGTTGATCATCTTGTTGCTTGCGTCAGCTCGGCTGCTACTCACATTTGCGTACTCAGCCCCTGGCCTAGTGAAACAAACCAGAGCACCTCCAACTTGAGTAGGAAACACGTCAAGCTGGGGCTGCTTAAGCTGCCATGTGCCTGCTTTCTGTGGATTGCTGATGAAACTAGTTAGATTATGATGACTGTGTCATTTAGAAAGGGAAGACAAGTTAAAAAAAAAAAAGACATTGTGGAACCCACACACACACACCACTCCCTCTTCATTAGTGACCAAGACAGCTGTATGCTTTCATGTTGCTTCCTGGACTAATTAGGTGGATTAGACTGCAACTATACTTTGCTTTTGCACTGGTCTGTGATACAAATTTCAGTTCAAATGCGTATTCTTGTTTAAAACACACAAAAAAGGCCATCTTTTATGGAACAGTGTATGAAAATACATTTAGGGCCAAAATGTGTATAGAACACATATATTTTTATAAAATACATAAAACATTTTAGGCTAACTGCATATAAAGCATATTTTGTGAGAATATGTTAAAATAACATTGCATTGAAATATATTAAAATAATTTGTTTAAAACAAACAACAGATTAATATGAAAATAAGCTGGCAAAGGGGACTGGGCCTTACATGGAGAAGGCTGCCAATGCCCACCAGTTCTGAGGGCTGTGTGCTACCCCCAGGATCAGAGGCGAAGTTGCTGGGGAACAAGGGGGGCAGGGTGCTGTTGCACTCAGGGCCTGCTTGTGGGTATCTCGTAGTCAGATGGGGGCCATGGTGTGAATACTGGACCTGAATGGACTCTTGGTTCTTAAGGGCCATGCCCACCCTGCCTCATTCACACTGTGGTGGAAACACACAGGGCAGTAGCAAGCACCTGAGCCCCCTTACTTCTTCCGCAGAAAGGCAAAGGGGACTCTGTGGCTTCTCACTTTCCCATCCTCCTTCCCCCATTGTGGGACGGGGTGGTAGCTGGCCATGCTGGGGCAAGTGTTGGCCTAAGAGCTTGCAATGGGCAGCTTGGCTTTGATGCATGTGGGGCTGCTCTAACCATGCAAGCATGTGGAGCAGAGCCAGGTTGCCCTGGGTCAGGTGGCAAATACCTTAGGTGGGCAGGGCGCATGGCCACACCCACCTGAGCTCACACAGCTTGGTGATGGGTAGGTCCGGTCATCCTGTCCATCACCCAGAAGTGCTATATCAGCCCTACTTAGAGCAGAGCCACATAAGTGAATGGGACTGAGCTGGTGACTAACCTAAGCCTCCTTCATTTCAACTTTAGATAGGACGAACCTATTCGCAGGGAAGGCCGGGGGTGACTCCGCTGGGGGTGGGGGAACTCCTCATGCTGGGGGACTACTCATGCATTGCAGCTTTTCTTTTGAGCCCTGTCGGAGCCATCACGGTGCTCCATAGCGGTGAACCTCTTTTGGGGATGGCGTTCAGCACCCTGGCTAGCTCCTCTGAACCAGAAATGGGGAACAGCTCCACAGGAAGCCCCCCAGGCATGGGGTCACCGACTGCTCGAAAGGGCTTCGGGTCAAAATGCAGCCCAAGTGCCTCTTCGCGTAGCTCGCCGCCTCGGAAGGCCTCCTCCAGCCCACGGCCCTTGCGGTTTCCCCGCGTCCCAGCAGAGGGCTGCGCGCCCGGAGTGCGGCTGGCGCGGTTCCTCACGCTCGTGCCCCAAGCTTATTTCCTGCGATTACGGGCGCCTGAGCGGGGGCGGTTCGCGGTCGCCAGGTGACAATGGGCGCCTCAGTGCGGCCGGCGCAGCTGACAGTCTCAAGACGTCGCCCCGAGGCGCCGGGAGGCCGAGCGCCGCGGCCGAGCGCGCCATAAATAGCGCGTGCCGGGACCGAGCCGCCAGCTCCTCCGAGCCAGGCGGGCAGCGAGCGCCGGCCGGAGCGCCACGTGCGCGCTGCGGCGGGCCGCGGGAGCGAGGCAGGCGAAGCGGCCGCTCTTCGCGCTTCCCTCCGGATCCCCGGCCGCTCCGCTAGAGCGCTTCGGGCGGCACCCGCGAGGCGGAGCCTCCTCGCCCACGCAGCTTGGGCGCCTCCCGCGCGGGGCTGCCGTCGCACGTGCGCGGCGATGGAGCCCCCGCAGCGGGCTTCACGGTGCGTCCGGAACGGGGAGCTGCTCCCCGGCCGCCTCTGGAAGGACTTGGGCGAGCTGCAGAGCAGCGGCGAGGGCGAGACGCGTCGGCAGGCGCTGGGCAAGCAGCTCCTCCGCCCGCAGCCGGAGGACAGGTGCAGGCGGGAGCGGGACGCCGGCGGGCAAGGCGGGGACGGGCTGCCCGCGCTGGAGTCCGCCTACGTCTCCATCCTGCAGGGGCTGGGTGAGGACCCCGCCAGGGAAGGGCTGCTCCGCACTCCCCGTCGGGCGGCCGAAGCCATCCAGTTTCTCACCAAAGGCTACCAAGAAACCGTCGGAGGTGAGTCTTCCCCTCCCCACTGCCTTCGTCGTGACCTTAAAAATACCTCCCCCAAAATTGCGCCTGTAGCACTGCTGTCCTTGAAAGGTTTGCAAAATAAACTTTCTATGACTCATGTGAGTTCCAAACCTTTATTCGGCCAAGCCAAGGCAGGAGCTTTCTAGATCGAAGGCAGGAAAGATCTTATTTAAAAGGTGGCTGGGAGTTTGTGTCTCTGACTGGACAGACATCCTGACTTCAACACCAAGTAAACCTTCCAGTGCTGCTTTTCCTAACATCTTACCTGATGGAGACCTGGAAATGTTTTTTGTGACCTGGCCATCCTGCTAGATCTTGGATGTTCTGAAGCACTTTCTTAAAACAGATTTTTCAAGCGCTAACTGGAAGGCATGGATACAGGCTGCAGCTGAACCTACTGGGAGTTAACTTAGTTTCAGGTTAAAAGGATTGGACTGTTAATCAGTGTGACAATGTTAAACAGTTTCCTAATTATCCTTGCCACGGGAAGAACCTTGCAAGAAAAAAGTGGTGCATTTTATTTTATTAATACACTTGGTCTTGGTGTGCATCCTTTTCAGCCATTAATTCATTGGATGCTTTTTAAGTATCATTTCTGTGTAAATGAATAGGACTGTGGCAAATGCACCACTATGTTTCTGGAGTAAATATACTAGTTTTGGAGGGGCAGAACTAGTTCCTGAAAGAGTACAAGCTTGTACAATTGTGTTTTTGTTCCTGATTACTTCCATTGGCTTCCTTTTCCTCTGCTGCTGCTACTCCTTCATTGCCACAGTTTTTCCTGGGTATTTCCAGATACTAGTCAACTTATGGATGTGATGACATTGGCTTTGCTGCCAATCAGATTGGCCATGTGATGATGTCAGCTGACTGAAGCCACAGGGAGTAAGAGTAAGGCTTTCTGGGTCCCCAGCAGGCAGACGCTTATCAACCTTTTGGAGCAACTCCCCCTCCCCCTCACAATTTGGCAAAAGGAGATGGTTCAGGAAAAGCCCCCCACTTTTGGCATGACTGGCTGTGGATGATGGGAGCTGAAGTCCAGCACATTTAGAGGGCACTAGGATAGGGAAGGCTGACGAAGGATGAAATTGACACTGTTGGCTAAGGAAGCAAGCAAAAGTATTGACTTCCCTGCAGTAGATAGTAACATAACAGGGACAGATGTAAAATCTGTTGGGTTTTTTTGGTTGCATACTGACTGCTATCACCTGATAACATAGGTAATATGATGGAATACAGCAAGCAATATCACCTTAACTGCTTTCTGTGCTTAACCATTGGCCCTCTTGTAACATAGCAAACATAAATTCTTCTAACTATTTTTCATTTCAGTTCATATTCATCTCTGGTAATCAGCTTCTTGTTTCTTTTCTTTAATTGCTGCCCAGATTTGGGACAAGCTGAATGGAAATCCTTTTAAATCACCATCTTGTTACAAAATTATTTCTGTAATGCTCTCATTCAATACCCACTGGAAATGGGCCCGGGGGGGGGGGGGCAGTTCTATGCATAGCTCAGGCAAAGTTGAGAATTTTTTGTGTCTTGAAAATCCTCCTTACTATCCATGTGGTCCTTTTAACACAAAAAACTTGTGCACAAAATGTTTCCCTTGCACCCCCCTTCTATGAATTGTTTCCATTTTGTCTTTTCAGAAATACTCAATGAAGCGGTTTTTGATGAGGACCATGATGAGATGGTGATTGTGAAGGACATAGATATGTTCTCCCTTTGTGAACATCATTTGGTACCTTTCTTTGGCAAGGTATTGATTGGCTGACACTTAATAGTCTAAGATGGGGTGGTCTGCTTCTTCAGCCTGAGTGAATGGGGTGCAGATATAGGATGATTCTCTCCCGTCAAACTTCTTTGAGCCTGGAAATTCCCCACCAGCCATGGATCATCTTCTCCCAATCTCAGGAGTATAGATGGGCATATTCTAGCTGCTTGTACTGAAATACCTTTCCATCCTACTGGGTGAAGGGCCCTTTGTGCTCCATCCTCCAAGCAGAAGGGCACCAGGTGGAAAGAAATGTAGCTCAGTGGCAGAGTTCATGTTTTGCCTGCCGAATGCCCCAGCTTCAGGCCCAGTCATTTACAGGTAGGTTTTGGAAAGATACCTGCCTAAAACTCTGGGAAGCTCTGTCCATCAGGGTAGACTAGCCTTCCCCAGCATGATGACCTCTGGATGTGTATAGTTTTAACTACCATCTTCTCTAGACAGCATGACCATGTTGATTGGTGATGTGGTAATTATAGTCCAAAGCATCTGGTTTAGACAGTAGATATATAGATAATACAGTGCATCAAAACAAACCTTTCAAATACGTTTTCATTGCTACTCTAGAATAGATGAAGGAGATGCACTCTTGATTGAGAACCTAATTTTAGGTGGGGCATCCAGGGTCCTTTAAGTATTCCCAAATATTTTGAGAAAGGGTTATCATTGTCGTTCTCTTTAGGAATCCAATTAGACAGGCTGATGTAACCAAAACCCATAATGCACTGCAATGCCAAAGCCACTGCAAATTCTTAAGTCTCTTTGAAACAAACTGGGTGTTAGGTAGACCTCAGAACTGTGCTTTCATGGCTAGAACTACAACCTGGTATCCCCTAGAAGTGATGAACAGCAACTCCTAGCCAGTCAGTCTTGCTTTTGTCCTGACTGGGAATGATGGGAGTTGCCATCCAGCACAGCTGGAGGAAAAGAGGTTGGGGAAGGATGATTCATAAAATGGTTTTGTTCCTACAGGTCCTCCTGTGATGAGATTAATGTGGAATTGGATCTTGCAGAGAGGATCTGGTTATACATTCAGCTTCCCATTCACACAGTTGGGAAACGTAAGCATAGGGAAGGATCCAGTGAGTGTGATGGGAAAGCCAATTTGTGCAACATGAATATGCAGGATAAATCAGGGTGCAGTGAGATGAAGTCCATCGTGTGACTCTCAGTGTCGTACATGGATATTAATCATCCGTCATTTCTTGCTCCTACCTGCAGGTGCACATTGGATACTTACCAAGGAAGAAAGTGGTTGGCTTAAGCAAACTTGCAAGGTTCTTATTATTTGCTTCACCTTTTTCTAATTTGTTTATGAATCTCACTGCCACAAAATATACTGCTGGCTGGCTCAAAGGAAAGGTGGGAAAAGGAGGTTAGAGAAGTTCATGGAGGTTAAGGCTGTCAGTGGCTGATGGTTGGATGCTTCCTCCAGCATCCAAAGCAGTTTGCCTCCAAATCATACTTGCTGGGGAACATGGGCAGGAGGGTGCAGTTGCCCTCATGCCCTACCTGTGGGCTTCTCAGAGGCATCTAGTTGGCTTCAGTGTAACAAGTTGCTGGACTAGATGGACCTTTGATCTGACCCAGGATACCTCTCCTTTATGTCCATCACTGGGCATGCATTTGTTCTATAAGACCAGAGGTTAGATTTCCTCTTGGGACACAACCCTGTATATCCACTGGGATGTTTATGCAGATGGTAGGATGGCACCGATCCCACTTGTCTCCTGCTCTTCCACTGGGGCCTCAGGGCAAGGTTACGGGGCGCCATTCCCCTGTGTTTTGCAGCAGCCTGATGGAGCAAAGCGAAGTGAATTGGTGCTGCGTGCTGCCTTAGCCATGTCCACATTCCGTTACATCAAGTAGCACAGAGATGACAGTGTGATTACAGAGGATTCTGGAGAACTCAATGGCAGTTCCTTGCTGGGAGGAGCCTGGGGGAATGAAAACAGGAAGGAGCTCATAGGACAGTAGAGCTGAAAGGGGCCAGTAAGGCCACCATGTCCAGTTCCCTGAGAAACGCAGGGCTCCATGTAGCACAGTTATAGCACTTCTTTAAATGGATGTTGATGAAGTAATGCAGGGATTGCAAACGTGCAGCCCTCCAAATGTTGGACTGCAGGTCCCATCAGCCCTAGCTAGCATAGCCAATGGTGAGGGATGATGGGAGTTGCAGTTGAACAACATTGTCCCCCATCCCAGAGGGAAAGGGTTTTTAACTGCAGCTTGGGGTTGCTTGTGAACAAGCTCACCCCACGCAGCAAATGTGTGCATGTTCCTTATTCTACTTTGCTAGGCAACTGATTTTTGTAATGCTACATTTCAACAGAAATGAGGTGGGTGGCTACCAGGAGGAGGGCCTTTTTGGTTGTAGCTCCCCAGTTTTGGAATGAGGTTCTCAAGGAAGTATGCCTGGTGCCTATCTTTTTGGCACCAGGTGAAGGCCTTTTTATTTTCCCAGTATTTTAATAGTTTAACTATTAAACTTTGGTTTTATATATTCCATTTTATTTTGTACTGCTGCTATACTTCTGTGCTGATTCATAGCAATTGTAATGGCTATCATGGTTTTATTCTTTTAAATTCATGTTTGTGTGTGTCTTTTTAATGTTTGTTTAATTTTATTGTTTGTTAAACACCCAGAGTGCCTCAGCCTTTGGGAAATACAAAAAGAAAATGCATGCATACTTACATACATACATACATACATAACTGATCTTTTTCTTTCTGTACCCATCTTTTCTCCATCCAGAATTGTTGAGATATTTAGCCGAAGACTTCAAGGTTTGTATCCCTTCTGCTTGCTTGTTATGGGCCATTTTTGACTCCCAATTGCTCCTCTGGGAGTCATTTCTACAACAGATTCCCCCAGCTTTCTGCTTTGCAGAAGATCTGGACATCAGCTGCCATTAGAACCAGTCAGTGACCAGGAATGCTTGGAGTTGTAGTCCAAAGCATCTGGGTGGGGACACCAGATGGGGAGTGCTGCTGTAGGGCAACAGTTTTGGGCACTGTGGGAAAAGAATCACTTTACAGGGACATGGCTGGCTGGAGTTGTAGGACTTTTTCCTGTCTAAACATACATTGGATCGCTCCCCAAGTCTTTTATGGTGAAAGCATGCAGAGAACAAATGCTAAATCTGTAGATCAGCATTCATTGACTTGCTGTCTTTCAGGTAGTTTGGACTACAGCCCCTGTCATTCCTAGTCAATATGGCCAGTGCTTGATGAGAATTATGGGAATTGCAATCCAAGACATCTGGAAGGCAATCAGTTCTGGAAGTGATGGGTATTAGGCTGAGAAATGAACTTTGTCCCTCCGTTCTGCATTTACCACCCTGAGCCCTTCTTTCACCCTTAGTTTTGGCTAGTAGACCTCAGGATTCTCTCATCAAATGGACCACATGCCCCATAAACTTGATCCACTATTTTGCCCCTGGTGCCAATCAGTGAACCTTGTAGTTCTAGTAAAAAACCAACCCCATGGTAGATCCCGCCAACACGAAAGCTACCTTTGCCCGATCCGATGCTCCTGCAACTGTGCAGTATCATTAAAAAGAGAGGCCCAGACCTTCAGCCTGATTCACTTTTCTTGCTGCTTCTCGGCTGCATCGACAATTTAGTCAGTCCTGAATTTGCCCTCCCTCAGAATAGGCTTCCTGTTGTTTCTTGGTGCTGATCCCTCCCCTTAGCGTTCTGCTTTATTAGGAAGGAGACCGTGGACATCCTGAAACCCAGAGGGTGGTCTCCTTGCAAGGAAAGGGCTCCTTCGTGTGTGTGAAGGTGGCATCATAAAACTCAGCGGTGGCTCTTTAGGGTGTTGAGTTTCCTTGGAGTACTCTGACATGATGCTACATGACGACTCAGGGTTGTTGCCAGGGAATTCAAATAGTCAGGGGCCAATGAAGGCTACCATGTTTGCCACCAGAAGGCCCCTTGGGCTGCCACAGCGCCTTCCCAGCAAGTTTTTTCAGGGCATTCAAGGGAAATTCAGCATTGCAGACGTCGGCTGGGAAGATCAAGTGGGGAGGAAGTGAGAGTCTTTGCTTCCCACACCCCAAATCCATCTTCCCGAGTTGGAGACCCTCCATCTGCATTAAACTACAGTTCTCATCATACAAGCTTTCTGGGGGTGAAGGAAGTTGTAGTCTGACACATCTAGAGGCTGCGGGGAACTGCCCAAAATGTGCCAGAGGGGAGGCAGACTTACACCTTTGCTTTGCCTGAAAAGCTCCCCAAATTCACCCGACAGCTTTCAGCCCAGACTTACCCAGATCTGAATTGCCTTCTTTATCCCTGATACGAGTGCTGAATTGACTTTGCCAGCTGGTTCAAAGTATATCTTTTTGCACAAAGACCCATTCTTTTTCCAGTCCAGGAGCGACTTACCAAACAGATTGCCCTGGCAGTGACAGAAGCTCTGCAACCTATTGGAGTGGCTGTAGTCATAGAAGCATCGTAAGTCAGTCAGTCCGTATCAGTTTAGCCCGTTTTGTCTTTGCCCTCCCCATTCCGATTCTGGAGAGGCTTCGCATGGTTATTGTTGAAAAGCTCTTGCAAGCAACGCATGAAAGTACAGACATGGCTGAATGTAGGCTCCAGGGCAGTCCTCTGCAGACCAGCTCCTGCTAAGTTCAGTGAGGCTTACATATTTTATTTTTTTTCGGATTTATATCCTGCCTTTTTCCTGCAAAGGGCTCAAGGCAGCTCACATCTCCTCCTCCATCTTATCCCCACAAGAACAACCCTGTGAGGTGGGTTGGGCTGAGAGTCTGTGACTGGCCCAAGGTCACCCAGTTGGCTCCATGGCCGAGCCAACATATGTTAGCAAGTGGGCAGAGCGATCCTATCAGTGTAGCTGGGAAGACTTGGTACAACTCCCAAAACATCCGCCAGTCTGCCCACAGCATGCTTTTGGATCCCACCCCCTTTTCTGATACCATCCTTGGTGGCTCAACACTGGCGCAGCAAGGGCCTCAAAGCCTAAGGCGGGACATTGCTGCTGAGGTTGGATCTTACCTTCCAAAGGCAGGCATTTCTCTTTGCCTTTGGAGAGAGAAATCTAGTCTCTACCATCTCCCCAGGGAACAGAGGATTGTCACCTAACTCAGTTGAGTACAGCTGGTGTCCCTCCCCTGACAGAAGACCCCTTGACCCTTTGGAGGCTTCTATCAGGGAGGGGGATTCTTCATGATTTCCTTCCCCAGTTGCAGGCTCTGCTGGACCTCTCACACCAGTCAGAAGGGCCCTTTGGCAGTCCGGAGCATATCTGGGGGGTGGCCACAGGGACCGCGTTGGAGGGAATGGTTGACAAACAGCTCCCATTCGCTCAGTCATGGAGCTTTCTGTGGGACACTCCATTGGACACAAACTTTTGTTCTCATAGTCAGTGGAACTTCAGCAAAGTCACAATTGCCTTGTTGCACAGATTTCAGTGGAAAGTGAATTCTGTTTGCCAAGACTACAATACACACATTCCTGGAAACAGACCCCACTGAACTTAACAGGATTTATGTCTACAAAGCACCCACATAGTCTTGCAGTATTAACCTGGGCCAACCCATCTAACACCCTCATACTGATATGATGGCTTTGCTTCCATTTGCAGAAGAGCACTTTTGACTTGCAGTTAAGTGTAAGCCAAGATGTTCCATTTCATTCTGTGTTGTGGAGGCTTGGGGTGGGGGTGGGATTTGGCTGAAAATTCCTCCTAGGTTTCCCTTCTTGGGTGGGCTTAGTGCTAAGCAGATATGTACAGAATTGCATTTTAAAGGAGGCACTGAAGGAAATTTCTCAATATAGGTGCCCTTTTTTAGAAAAAAAAATATTGTGGTGGGAGGGGGGGACATTAAATTAGCCTAAATCTTTTTAGTCTGGAAAGGTTCAGTTCTAGAATCGATAACTAAAGCAACATGTTAGAAATAATGATCAGCAGACACTGCCCTGCAGTTTGCAGTATGGCTGCTACTTTAGTGTGCACATTATTAGCCTCTTCTGCTGACTTTTAAATACTCCCTTTGAATGTTCTCACCAGGCACATGTGCATGATCATGAGGGGAGTTCAGAAAATGAGCAGCAAAACCATCACCAGCGCCATGCTTGGAGTCCTGCGGGAAGATCCAAAAACCCGGGAGGAATTTCTCACCTTGATCAAGAGTTAAGTGGCACTGCTTGTGGCTCTCTGTGGGCTTGGACGCCACACTAAAAACCAATTGCCAAAACCTAATTGCCTTATGTGAGACAGTTTTTCCAGAGCCTGCGTGTGTGGAGGCAGCGGGGGTGGGGGGGGGGAGAGAAAAAGTGACAGGACAAGAAAGAACTGAATCACAGCTTTATTCTCACTTCTGGGTAACACCACAAAATGTTGTTAAACATTTGCTTGGCGATGCAAGCACCTAGCTCTGTTATCCAGAAAAGAAACCAGGCATTCTTGCTTGGATATGTATGGGAATTCTCTTTCTGTTCACAATCCCAAATATGGGCATGAGCATTTTTAAATGATATGTTTACAAATACTCAAATTTGCAATCTTATTTGAAAAATGTGTGTTTTTTAATACAAGTGTACCTTAAAATGCACATGACTTAAAAAAACAACAACAATGGTATTTTTATTCTTTAGTTCGGGGCAGGAGGAAGTATGGACTTTCCCCTTTTCGATAAGCTGACAAGCAGGTTCAGGGTGAAAATGGGGGCGAGCCAAATGAGCTTTGAAGTGATTTTGGACATTCAGATGAGCTTGAACATTGTTGGTTCTCTTTTCCCCGGTCCAGTATCCTCTTATGATGGTCCACTTTGTGCATGATACCCTTAGATATTTCTGAACAAGAGGGAAATGAGAGATGCTCCCCATTTCCTGATTTCTTCACCCTTTATAGAGGGGTACACCTAAACACCTAAAAGGGGAAGGCAACAAACACCTGCTTGCAAATAGGTATGCTATAGGTACAATGGGGTTGAGGAAAGTGGTCCTCCAGGGGTTGTTTTACTGCATCTCCCATAATCCTTCACCATTGGCTGTGCAGTCTAAGTCTGATGAAGTCATAGTCCACTAGTGTCCGGAGAACCATACCTTTGCTATCTGGCTTTGTAGCAAGGAAGGATTAGATGTAGTTCCTTGTCAGGCGCCTGCATGCACATCTGTGTGCATCCCATGCCCTTCCCCAGTGATATTTCGGGCAAAACCATACTTAAGGGAACACAGCATGAGCAATTCTGTAAGGCTGAGACACCCTCAGACAGGAGAAACATCTCCTGTGAAGGAATCCTTAAGATGCCCAGAGCTGCCATGAACTGGTGGCAATCCATTTCCACTTGGCTTTCTTAAATAAGGCTACCAAAATGTTCCAGCAATGTCCATCATGCACAGCAATCTCTCCCTGCTTCTGACACCCTCCAGATGTGTTGTGGTACAACTCCCACTATCCCCAGCCAGCCAAAACCCATGCTGTGTGGGGATGGTGAGACCATACCTCAACACACCTAGAAGAGCACCAGGTTAGAGAAGGCTGTTGTAGAGGGACAGTGGGAAGGGGTCCAAAATGATGCAGTGTAGGAGAAGTAGCAAAGGAATAGACAAAGTGGAGCTAGATCGGGGTGTGAAACCTCAGCCCGGGGGTCAAATCGATCCCAGCACAGTCCCCCAGGTGGCAACAGACCCCTCGCCTCACCATGGATCGCTTGGTGGCTTGCCAGCTTTTGTGCTGTTTCCTGCCCATCGTGAAGTGTGGAAATGCCTCTTGCAAGGGCTTATTTGTTGGCAATAAGAGCTTAAAGCTGAACTGTAGTGGTTTGGCGACCTCTGTTCTGCTTTTGGTCCTGCCTGCCCTGGAATACAGCCTCCAAAGCATTTCTGAAAGGGGGTTTTGCCTTCAGGTTGAAAGAGGCCCTGCTCCCTGGGCTAGACGGGGGCTAGATCCCGTCTGAACTGGGATGAGCCAACTGCTTTATTCCCTGCACACCTGCTATAGATGCTGTTCGGCAAGATGGATCCCTAGCTGAACTCTCTACAAGGCCACTACTTTGTATCGTTGCTGCATGCTGTCAAGTGGCCTCCAACTTAGGGCAACTCTTTGCATGAATGTATGCCTTCTAAAATCTCCTGTCCTTCACAGCCCCGCTCAGCTCTTTTGAACTCAAGTTCGTGGCGTCCTTGATGGAGCCAATCCATCGCATAGTGAACCTCCTCCGCTCCTACATCATGCGCATGCCCAAGCCGCTCCAAGCCATTTTTCTTCCCGAGGACAAGATGGTAGCCCTCCCGGTACAGATGCCAAAGCAGGAGCAGCCCCCACTGGCTCACCTGCAGGCAGCCAGCCAGCCAGCCAGCCAGCCAGCCAGCCCTCCGCCACACAGCTCCCTCTTCCAGAGTCCTGCTGCTGCCTCCCAAGCCCTGCTGCCCCCCAGGGATGGGGCTGGCCTTGTGGATGAGGTGTCCCCTAACATGGCGCTTGGCTCAAGGCGCACTCTGCAGTGGCAAGAAGGGTTCAGACCTCGCTGACCCTTCCCGAGTCCTCGGGCCATGCTGGAGGGCCTGAGGGAGGTACAAATCCTGGCCCTCTGCAACAGCCCCCTGCCTTTTCTGATCTATCTGCATTGCACAGTGATGCAGTGGCAGTGTTTTGAAGCTGAGTGCTCCTCAGGACTGTCCCCATAGCCCTGCTGCCCCCGAGGAAAAGCCATTCACTCAGGCGGCTGGGTCAGGCCCTAGCAGCAGCCCCATCCATGCAGTTTCATTTCCATCGGGAGCAAGGCGTGTCAAACAAGCAGGGTCTAACAGCCCTTTTAAGGCGAGGCCACCCAAAAATAGTTTGCCTTGCTGCACGGACAGCTCGCAGCAGCATATTCTTGCTGGGAAGGGCCTCCCATCAGCAGCTATGAGGATTGCAGTCAAGGTTGGAGGGGACGTGGAAGCTGTGGGGGGCGAGTGTCCATCTGCGTTCCTGGTCATCCCATTGCCCCCGACATTGGCCATAGGAGCCCTGGCTGCCCTACAGTTGTGATGCGCAGAGAATTTGGGGGAAAGGGTTTTCTTGCTTCACTCGTCCACAGATGCAGCTGCTAGGAAGAGGTTTCTGATCATTCATAGCAACTGTACCGGCTTCCAAGAGGACTTGAGAGCTGCACCTCACAAAAAGAGGAACCGCTCCTGCAGCATCCATCTGTGTGCACATTGCCTCATCCAGGTCGGGGGGGGGGGGGGGGCAAGGGCCCCGACAGTCCGTAGCTTTCATGTAAAGTGGGGGGGGTGGGTGGAGAAAATCTTATTGTAAGGCTGTCCTGCTGTGTGTTTACCATGGATTAAGCTGCACTGCATAGAGCAGAACCTGCTTCTGAGTAAAGCAAGCAGAAAATTGTCCCATTTATCAGTGAGTGTTTGGGTTGGAAACCTGTTTTCAATTAGAGAGTCTTCCTTCCATTGGCCTGGTTTAGTTAGAATTTTTGCTAGATTTTTTTTTTTTTTTGTGTGGGGGGGTTGTTTTTGGCTACAGCTCTTTATGTAATGAAAGTACTGTTAACACCACTGTATTATCCTCAAAGAATTGTATAGCACAACTTGAAATGTGCCTTAAAGAATCTGATGACTTAATACTGTGCTGAATATGTTGGCATTTCTTGCAGAATATTCTGTTGTTTGCTGGAAAGCACCAGTCTATGTTCTCTGTTTCATAAATAAGCTTTTAACATGAGCTTAATGCAGTCTTCCCCTGCCTGAGCCCCAGCAGGACTACAGCTCTCTTCTCCCCTAGCCAACATGGCCATTGGCTGTGCTGGCTGGGGAAGCTGGGACCTGTAGTGGAGCACGGCCACAGGGCACTGGGTCAGAGGAAGGCTAATATACTCATTTAAAGAGGATTGACTGGCACGCAGCTGATGACCCTTTCTATGGGTATCTCATTCCAGTCGTTACATTTCTATACCTCCCAATAGCCATGGGTAGTGTACAAAGGATTTTTTTTAATGAAAAGTACTCCATTATGCATCAAATTAAATCAGTTCTGCTAGAGATAAATGAGCAGAGTAGATGCACAAACTCACCCCCCAAAGACTATCCCTTGATCTGGCTGAAAACCTGTCATATGCTGCCAAATGCCTGAGAGCAGAGGAAGGTGCCTAGGCCCATAAAGGTGAGCATGGTGGGCCTCACTGGGGATTTTGTTCCACATTTGGGGGGCTCCCACTGAGAAGGCCCTGTCCTTTCTTGCCACTACCTTTTGAGCCTCCCTTGACCATGAGCATCGTGCACAGGCAGGTTCAGAGCCAGCAGAGGCGCGCCACTGAGCTGCACGGGGAGCTTCACATGCGCAGCTGCAGCAGAAAATTCTGCCATTCTTGAAGACGCGTTGAAGCCCTGTCTCTCCTAACAGTATTTTTTTTAATGTATGAAAATAGCTGCATAAAAGTGGTGCTAAAATGTATATGTAACCAGAAATATATATGTCACTGTACTAGTGGATTTATAAAATGCCTTTACTAGAGAGCTATAGTTTTGGTTTCCAACCTCAGGCTTTGTTTACTGTATAGTCGAAGAATTAAAGCTGATTGTGATAATCGCTGCATAATGCTGCTGCTGCCCTGCCTCCTTTTTTTATTTGCATTATAGCAGGATGACCTAAAATAAATTAAATTTGAATTGGTAACGGTGCACTTTTTCTTGGGGAATGCCTCACTATGAGCAGTCCTTTTTTACATGAGGCCCAAACCAGGATAAACCATCAGCAAAGAGCCCTCTGAATCATCACTACAAGAGGGCCTTCCCCAACTCAATCCATCTCAATCACTTTGGATGGCAGAACCCATGATCCTCAACCATTGGCCATACTGGCTTGGGATGGTGGGAGTTCTCGTCTAGAACATCTGGAGGGCACAACATGGCTTCCCCAACATCTTCTCACCTCTGTTCTTTAAAAAAGCCCCCACCAAAGAAAACATCAAGCCTGAGGAAGCTTTCTGAGGAATTTCCAAAGCTGTCTCTGCTTCATGATTTTAGGAAGTCCTCCTAAAAGGCTTTCTGATACCACTCTGCTAAAACCAGTTCTCAAAGCCAGCACTGGTGCATGTGGCCCACGAGCTGCTTGCCTTCGGGAGACACTGCAGTTGCTCTTCTGGGCAGGCAGTGCAGCACATCTCCAGTCGTGACGGGGATTTTGGGACCACAGGCAAGCCCCCTGCACTCCACGGCAAATGCCCGCTTTGCCCCAGGTTCACTCTCACAGGGGGCTAGAAAAATACCCTGCCCCAAACCCTGGAGAACTGCTGCCAGCTGCTGGGGGCGAGATCAGAGATGGGGTATGTGTGGCCCTCTGGATGCCATTGGGCTGCAGGGCCCATTTTAACTCAGCTGTGCTGGGTGGAGCTTGCAGGGAGCTGCAGTCCAACAACATTTGGGGACCGGGTTGGATAGACCAAGGGGCTGATGCAGTACAAAGCCGTTTGCCTGCTCCTCCTCACTGAATGGAGAAGAGAGGTCTTTTCTTGTAAATTTCCACAGCAAAGTTCATCCTACTTGGCCATCATGTAAGAGTGAGTGTTGCTTTTTCCCCTTCTTCCTGCCCCAACCCTTTCCTCCTTCCACAGGGAGGCAAACAGGCCTCTTCGCC